ATAGAAATTTTCGATTCTTTATGTTTTGTCCATATCTTATTTAAAAAAACCTCTTGGCACAAGTTACCAAAATTTCACATTTTAAAAAATTATCGAAAAATCACAAGGGAGAACTTAATTATAAACAAATCTTACATTACATTATCTTTGGATGTTTCCCACAATATCCGGTTCCCGAGTGTTATTTATTACATTATACATAGATGTATAGGTACCTTTTATTTCTTCTGATTTTTCGATAATTCAAAACACAAGCGAGATATCTTGCCAAAACTAATTGGGTATTTTTATGAAATTGTCAGGTTACTATGTGAGATTGATCTAAACGGCTAAGCGCAGTTTCCAATATTCCTAGGGAGAAAAAGGTTTTTCCTAAAGGTATATCAAAATTGGGACACCCTGTCCAAGATACGAATTTACGTATGCAAGATTCGCAGATGTGGGTAGTTTTCATCTTGTGTGAAATAAATGTGTTTTTATAGAGATCGGTTATACAGGGTTATTCACTGTGGGTGGTAGAGGGGACTAAAATAAGCATTTTTTCCAAATGAAAATGTGTTACTTATGTGGAAGTCAAAAAGTTGAATTTTTTCTATAACCGTCTCACGAACTGTAACAGTTGGAAATTGCAGCTTTACCTAGGTTTTTGGGTATACCTTTTTTCCTTTTTCTAAATATACCTATGTCCAAAATTCGGGGCGAAAAAATTTGTTCTTGACGAAATTGAGAAATTCGCTAAAATAATCCAGCTGAAATTTTTGCTTGGGTCTCAAAAATGATAAGAATTTCGTGAAATTTTATACGATCTTAACGAAAGCTATTCACAGTTAACCGTCCAAATAAACAAAGAATATTCGAACTTAAGCTCGCATCTCGCATTCGTAAATCGTTGACCAAAGGCATTTTTTAATTTTCAAAAACTTTCATACCCCGTTGTTTTGTTGAATGTGGTTTGAGTCACTTTTGCTTTTGTCGTTGAATGGACAGGTTCTTATTTTGCGAAAGATGGTGTCTGAAGTGGAATATTCTAAATTATATATCTAAGCGTATATACGTGAATGAGGAATGGTTGTATCTTGTCGAGGTAAATTTATTTTCATATGATTCCTTATTTGGTTAACACGTTTCTTTTTAGGTTATGCCATTTGTTTTAATTTAATTACCTTTCCTTAACCTATATCGTAATCTAAAAGCCATGTATTAATGGGATACGTAAGTTTGAATTAATTGGAATTTAGTCTGATATTTGTATTGTAGTTCTAGGATGTTTTTTTTGTACGTTACAAACATTGGGGTGATCGTGTTACAGAAATGCCGTTTATTTTAATTTAGGTTTTTTGAAAACAAAATTTCATTGCAAACTTGAATTAAATTTTAAAGTCCAACGTTTCGGATTTTTTGGGGCTATCTTCAAATTTATTTTTTGTATGTGGAGTAGCATTTTTAGCGCATTTTCCAACTTATGTTATATTATAGCCACTTTCTCTGTTCGACCAGGTGGTCCGTCTAAGGACATAACTACTTCTACAGTTTTCACGATATTTAGTTTGTTCTTTTTGCATTTGGTAGTTCTGGCACCTCAAACAAGAAACATCTGCGCAAGGTCAACTTTCTTATTTATAAAAATTTTTTTTTTGAAATTTTAACCAAACATTCTTCTAGTAAAGACAACCATATAGCATATTGTAAAAATCAGATGTGCGCATGTGCAGACTGTACACCCTTACATGACCTTTTGGAAAGTACTGATCAAAGGATGCTAAGTAGGTGAATACCTTTTTTCATTTTTTATATTTTGAAAGAGCTTGTCATTCTGGAAAAGTATATGACACTTGCTTAGACGAAGGGCGAAGAGACGAGCGGACTCCAAAATAATGAACTAAAATGTACACAAATAAGTGGTAAGTGGCTATGGAATGCATCTGTGCAGAGCTGTAACCGAGCATTCAATTATGTGCGGGAAAGAAATGTTGAACTCGCTTTTTGTCACTCGTTAACAAAAGATACGAAGAGTCGCATACGATTGTCAGTAGGGGAACTTTTTGATACTCGCTCAGCTCACATTCGGAAACACGATTTCTAATCCGGCTCATATTCAATTTTTGAACTGGTAGAAATCGATTGGCGAAGGTTTAACATCTCTTTTCGTTCTGGAGTTAGACGTATGTTTATCCGACCGAACAATCGCATAAGGAGAATTCGATAGGTTCTTCTCTCGGTTCTTCTGTTGAAAGAAAACGACTATGGAAGAACTACATCGAATTTTGTATCTATAGAGTACTAGCATCAGGCCCCACGAACTAACGTACCGCGTTTGGGAAATCTCATTTTTAGCGTAGGTATTTTCCTCAACGTGTACAATCGCTATTGGCATGCGCAATGCCAACTTTCTTATTTACTGAAGCCTTTTAATGAAATTGTATACATAGCAGGGGTTGGAACTCATAGGAAATATATGTTCCGGTTCCACACTATTTGGAGATAACTATTTTTAAAGGCTCCGGTTCCGACACTGCAATAATTTCCGGTTCCGGTTCCACTTTTTTTTCGGCTTTTAAAGGTTCCAATATAAATAAACAAAAAATCTATTATAGAAAAAAATAATACAGAAAATGAAATAACATTTTCCATAAACATGTTTTTTATGTTTAATTGGAACTTCTTTTTATTAACTTGCGCACTTGGTTCACTTTCAACAACTACCCGTCTTTTTCTAGTTTCTTTTTCTTCTTTTTTCTCACATTTTCCTCGACTGTTTTTGGGAGTATCTTTATTTTCAGTATTAGTCCTCTAAAATAAAGAAAAAACCTGTTAACGATTAGGTACCACTAAAACAAATTTTTTATGCAATCTGTTGTAACAGTGCACATGGTTGTAAACAAATAATTAAACGTTAAATCTAACCATAGTTAAGCCTGAATGAGCAAACGATAATGCAGATTTTCATTTGACAATTCATGATTAACTTATTTTAAAACAATAAATCCGAAAAACTTACACTTTTGCTAGGACTTTCAACACTTTCTTCTCAAAAATTCTATTGGCTTTGATTAGTAATTGATCCTCCAATATTGATCCATTGGTAGTAGATCGTAATGGTGACAATATAAATATTAAATCCGAAAATAATCTCTCAACACTCACTTGAGTGGCAGGTACCCCAAAAACAACTTCACTCAATTCGTACAGTTCAGGGTGTCCTGATTTCATATTGCGCCAGTATTCTAAAACATTTATTTTACGACTGATTCTTTGTTGTTTTACATTATAGTTTTGTAGCAAAACATCTATTCATCTGGTAGTAGATCGTTGTACCCCATCAGACATGCGATGTTCGGTTTCTTTGCTCTTTAAAAGTTTGTCTAAGTAAAATTCATCCGAGTCAGGACCAGATGGGCTTGACGATGCACAACTTGTGTGTAAAGATGGTGTATCTATAGTGGCACTTTGCGAAGTACTATACTACTTTCTCACAGACCATCCTAAAATCCTTATAGAATGGAAAAAACCCAACTCTAAGCTAAAATCTCTAAATTTTTTGGTTGTGTCTACTCTATCCGCTTCTCTTCTCCTTGGAAAGAACCGAAATAAAACCGGTTCTTTGGCACTAAAATAACGGTACCGGTACTGGTTATTATAACTTCCTGAATAACGGTTCCGGTTCCAAGTGAAGGGCTTACAGATGAAATCCCGGAACAGGTTGATTTCGGTTCCGGTTCCATCTCCTGATACATAGGCATTTGGCATAAAGACAAATCTATCACCAGTTCCAAAATTTGGTTTTGCGCATGCGCAATGGCAACTTTCTTATTTATGAAAGCACTTAAACGAAATATCATATGTAGTCACCTTGAATGAAATTAAAACTAATATCGGTTTCAAAATTACTGTTTACGCATGCTGTATGTTTTATTTATGAAGGTATTCCTTGAAATTTCTAATGTAGACACTTCCAGTAAAAGTAAAACTAATGCCCATTTCAAAATTTGTATGTATTTGTACGCTCCACTATTTTTCATTAAACTGTATAGACTTCGACGATAGGCGGCTCATTTGAAAGAGAATGGAGTAAGGATCTCGTGCCTACCGGTATTTTTTCCTGGTCCTGGAAAATACACTCTCGTCATTTATGTTTGCATAGTGACTTTTTAAACTTGTCTTTATTGGACGTACGCTTATTAGAGAGATAAGTCTCCTCTCTATACCACTAATATCAGGAAATTGTCGTAGCGTAAAACTAAAACCATCTTCGGAAGCTATTCAAACAGATCGATTTATTCATTCATCCAGTACGATATATTTCGGAGTAAGTGTTTTGTGTAGGTGTCAATGTAAACCAGTTGCCGTTTCCTTATTATTCCCATAAAAATTCCTTGCCCATGTTAATCTGATTTTAGTGCTTCGGTATTGAGATGAAAATTTCGCCTTCGTAGAGAAATCGCGATGGCAAGTTTTCCGATTAATTCGCGTTACAAATAAATAACAACTGATAATTCAACATGCTATTTATGATTGTTGTAAAATTAAGGTCGGACGAGGTTGCTACTATTATTTTATATCCGTGATTCACCATTAAATTTATTCGCGTTAGAATCCCATCGGGAAATAGCGGCTATAAAGTATTTAAACGGAAATTCGAATTTGCATATTGACGCCGCATTTTATTGTAAATACCTTCTTAGCATGTCGCACATTTTAAGGAGTCCTAATTTTGAAATTCTCGTGTTATTCAATAGAAAGTTTTCTCATTCATGCTTGTAGGCGGTTATGTTGAAATTTGTTTAACAACAATTAAGGATAATTTATGTCTTTTATTTGAAAAAAAAAAAAGCATTTCCGTTTTGAATCTAATGATAAGCCTTATATTTTAATGTTGCATTGTTACAGTGCACTTTTATTTTTAGTTTTAATTTCTAGTAACACACCTTTGAGTTGGGATAGAGTTGTGTGGGATTAAATTACGCCGAAGTAATTTGCAAATCAAATCGAGCGATCTACAGGTAGTACCTCTTACGCGCGCCTTGTCAGCGTACGCATTTTACGTAATTAGTAGAAACTCCATGTGAGAGCGGTGTGTAATTATTATTAGTGCTAATGTGAAGTAATTAAACCACAATAATGTATTCGAACAAATTAGTGAAGTGTTAGTTATGTTAAATTTTATCAGGCAGCTCGATATGCTAGAAGAAAATCAAACGCGGTACCGTAGTGATTACGCGAATTTCGGGAGAAAACCAAAATATTGTCAGCCCAGTTTAAATATACGCCCACGTAGTTTGTTGTGCGCTGTTAATTGCGATGACACATACGCGAAAAGCAGCGTTCATAACCACAGCAATACTTGGAAATTTCTACGGCTCAGGCCAAAATCATTCAGGTAATGTATAACATCGATTTCAAAATTGTGCAATCTGTCTTACGTTCCAAATTGTGCTATTCGTGCTGCATATATGCAAAAGGCGTTCAATTCAAATATTTACGCTTGTGTGCTTTAAGTTTCAATTTAAGTGCTATCGATCTAAGTTCGTTGTAAAAGTGATGTACATTCCCATTTTAACATACTCTCAAATGAGTACTAGAAAAGACTATTGCCTCGACTTTTTGCGGTGCCGACAATCTTAATTTAGTTTCTGGTAAATTACGGGTATGTATTTTTTTGGAAACCACTAACACTTATCGTGTTGAACTGATTGAAATGGAAATTTAGAGATTCCTATTTGTTTCGTAGATATACAGGGCTTGCATTTGAAAACGAACCAGTGATTGTAATTTGTAATTTTTACAAGAATAAAAAACAATCCAAAAATCACGTTCATTTACATAGGTAGGGGGAGGTTTAATTGAAAGTTTACCTTAGTACCTTCAGCTACCCACACTTTGAAATTATAATATGCATAATGACACATCATAGATACCATGAAACTCGACAGAAATACCCACAAAATGAAATTAGGACGGTATGTTTATGAATTAATTTTAAAAAACCAAGGCAAATACCAAATAAATGAATTTGGCACTTTTCACGTTTCTTGTCTCTTGAAAATTGTTTGCGTTTTGTCCGTCCGTCCGGACCCACTTCTGCCGTTTCGAACTAATTCTAGGGGAATGGTCCTAGAGATCTGGATTTTTTGCAGTAGGTAGCCTATACCGTGTAGATGTGCCATACGGTCATCAAATTTCGCTGCCTAAAAGCCCCCCCACGAATTATTTCCTGAGATTCTGAAAATTGGGGGGGGGGGGGTACACATGTTCTCATCGAAATAAATTGGTTTGTACAAACTATAACATTCCCGTGCGACTCTTTTTTTCGAGATCAGTGAGCGACGGTGCCTGAGGGGGGGGGGGGTCTGTATCAACGAAAGGATCCGTTTTCTACCAACTACGGCCCTTCTTTCTGTCTTCTTATCAAAGTACAGGGGAGGGGGGAGTGGAACTAGTTTTATCCTCTAATGAAAGGTCTCAATGAAAGGAATTAATTTCTACCAACCATAGCCCTCCTCCTCGACCTCTTATCGTGATCGGGTGTATTCCCTTATACCTCAAGAACGGATTATCGGAAGAGAGTACTCACAAAGGGCGATTGAGACGTCTGCGAGAAATATATCCATTGGTGATGTCAAAACAAAAGCTATTTCGGGTTAAAAAATGCGCTTTATCTGCACAAGAGTTGTGCACAGTTTATACTTGTTTATTTTTATGAAGTATGTATTCACAAAAGTCGGATTATAAATAAGACCGTTGGATCTCCGTATGCATGCAATTAAAGGGAAAGGCTTGACCTAACACCAAACAGGGATAGATGTCGTTAGACTGCACAGCGCAAACACCCAAACAATTGCGAGATTTTCTTTCCATACATCTCAAAACTCAAAAGCTCAAAAGATTTTTGTTGCCAAAAGTGTGTATTACATTTCCTTTTCGTTAGAGCACGATTTGATTATTGTTGCAAATATTCTAGAAACCCCATACACATCGAGGCGGCATAAAAGGAGAGTCATCGGCGATAAGTAACGTATGTGACACATTCTTTCCGGGAAATATAACGTGTTCATTCGAGAACATTCAACATATTCTGAAGCGTTCGAGAACTTTCGAGAAATACCGGCGTTTTCGAATTGTGTTTCGAGTCAGTTCCAATTTCAACACCAATTTGTTATTTAATTGTAAATAAATAAATCACGTAAGTAAATTTACGTTACAATATCAAGAAATTATATATATCGAAATCGGATAGGGCATACCCAAAACCCTATTCAAAGACGTGCCACCCATCTTTGTAACTCTTATGGTTGCTGAAACAAAAATTAAATAAGAAATCCAAATTTCACCACTTCTTTGAGGGTGGCTCGGTTTATTTGGAAAAAGTGCTTGTTTTGATGCCTCTATAACATTTTTACATGCGGTCATGTAAAACCCTGTATATGTCCACAAATGAGTACCTACCTAAAATTTAACTTTGTAACCACTTACTTGACGACTTTACTTTCTGCACGTAGGTTCAAATTTTTGCTTTTCTTACCTAATCATGTTTGACAATCAAGTTTTACAATTTTTCGTTGATTTTTTGTCGACAAAGCCTTTGTCTTCAGACAAAATACGTCATTTAGAAATCTTTAAAGCCTGCTCCACACTCCAGCTGCAAATCGCGCGTGAATTCCCCCCAAATTACCCGTGAACCTTGTGCGAAGAATAAGTCCCTTCACATTCTTGAAATTAAAACGTGCAACATGCGAACGTTTGATGTTGGACAGAAAACCGACTACGATCCGGGAACACGAACTTAAAGCCCCCGAAAGTTGCGAAAATTGTGCGAAAGCCCCCACATTAACTTTCGCGGGACTTAACACGCGCATAAACAAACTAATTAATTAAGTTTTAGTTCATTAATTTGCTACAAATTGTTCCTATTGTTGGAAACAGAGCAATTTATAAAGAGAACTCAATTGTTACTTCTTTTTAAGAGACGGGAAATGACTCTTGCAGGGTATATTCGAAGAACTTGGGATTAAAGTCGAATTTGCGATCAACCTTATTACATAAATTGGGCATGCTACGCCGTATCGTTGAACAAGTCAAATCGTCCAATGGTAGATCGCCCTTCTCTAAATTAATTGTACTATATCAATGTCTCTAGACCTTGTTGATGGAATGGGGCGGTTTTCGAGAATTTAATACATATTTCCAATAATAAATCAAATTCCCATTCCCGGAGGAACTATCGAATTTGGTAGCCAGGAGAAAACAGTTAAATTTTAAGTTGATGCTTTTCATCACTGCGTCCCATTATCAGAGCTATAATAGTCATTTCTCTTATTGATATTAGTCATCATGTGATGTTTTCGAAGCAAAATTAAGAACTAAGTGTCCAATTAGAAAGGTCTTTGGAACGAAGTAATAGAGATAAAAATTTCACACTTTGAAAATGTTTAAGTTGCTTCCAAATGATATTTTTATTTAAATTCGGCGAAAAAGTAAAATAAATTCTCGTTTGTAGCACACTATAAATTAGAACATTTGTCTTATTGGAAATATAAAGGAAGTTTAGAACTTGGCAAACTACATACTTATTATAGGTATGGCATTAACCCCTAATTCTTTAAGTTGTATTTTTATGAAGATAATTGTACGAATAATGACTTTTTAGAAAATCGCGTTTTAACTTGCCGTAACGACCTAGTTAGTAGAATAAGTAGGCAAATAATTTATTTCCATCATAAACCACATAAATTTTCGACTGTCGGGCATGGTATTTTATGGCGTCAAGACTTTGACGTACTTAATATTTGGATTTGATCAAAAATGGGAATGTTGATTAGTCACGTAAAAATAAGGTTGAGCCAAAGTAGACCCCTGAGGTATCTCACTAAACTACTTTAATATAGCTGTATTTATGGTTGCTCACAAAGCATTTTTAATAGTTGGATGGTATATGTTGAGCTTTGTAGTTTGTTTCTTCTATTTTACACATGCCACATCAATTATCAAATTGAAGAGAAAAACTCAAATTAAGGAAAATAGTTTTGTTAATTGATCTTATAATTTTACTAGTTTGATCATGTTTTAAATGCTGTCATATTAAAAAAAAGTTCATTTTTTAATATTACATACCTCACGAAAAATAGTCCTTTCCATTAAAAAAAAGCCTTTTAGTTCTGTAGCCGCACGCCACTGTAAATAATTTTGAAGCATATAGATTTATGTATAATTTTTTAATAATTTTTGATACAGAAAATTGCGTTGACATAACGAACAAAAAATAAAGTCAACGCAAACTAGTGAAATTAATTAACACAACTATTTTCGTTATTTTGAATGTTTCTCTTAAATTTGATCTCGGATTATGTAACATAGTAAGTTAGTTTTATCTTTCCTAAAAATTTACAGATTTCGCAATCCATGCAACCATCGGAAACATTGGAAATGATAACCGTATAACGCCATATGTAAAACACAAATAAGCCTTATTTACTCGGGATCACTTGCTTCACTGGCTACCAAGCGCGCTCGTGTCGCAAACGTACACTTTCTGAATAATAAGCCTCATCATAACATGCTCGTAATCCTATTAAAGGAGATGTGAGAGAATTTTAGATTGGGATGATTGGGATTACCAAAACAATTGCGTACTGTTAAGTGTAAGTACCGTATCGACTTTTCTTTAACCTACCGATTGCGGCCGAGTACGGTACAATCAACACTTGCCGCAACACCACTGTATTCTTTTCTGCTTGACGAAACTGGTAACTTCATACCCATACACAAATTAAGCATTTCCAATCTAGGGGGAAACAAGTATCATTTTTGGTGTACACCAAAAATTCAAGTTCAAATTAATTCACGTTAATTCAAATTAATTTACGTTAATTCAAATTAATTCACGTTAATTCAAATTAATTCACGTTCATTCAAATTAATTCAATTCACAATTCAATACACCAAAAATTCAAAGTTGTTTCCCCCTTCGAATGCTAAAATCATATTCTACAGATATATCCAGTGTTCCAGACAAAATGTTCACCCTGTAGAATAAGAACACATGTTTATTACCTTCAAACGAAGAGTTTAATATATGTCGCCATAGAACCTTTGGTAATAAGTCTGAACCTACAAATTATTGGATTTCACGTCCATATTCTCTGCAGAGGCTATCGGAATTTTCAAGGCATGCGAACTCGCTGAACAACAAGGACTACGTACCATTAACATTCTTTCTGATTCTCTATCTGTTCTTTCATGCCTCTCAAGACCGATGGACGTTCTTAACATCAAGGATAATTACTACTGCAAACAGCTAAAATCTAAAATAAAACGTTTGGAAAGTTCAGGTTCTAAAATTAAGCTGACATGGATAAAAGCTCACACTGGACTGTTACCCAA